CAGCGACAAAGTTGCTGCCAGTCAACATCAAATCAACAGCAGCAACATCAGCAGCAGCCAAGTGGCTGATAGCATTGATTAGAATTTTTCCGCCAGCCTCCTTCGCTTCACTTTTCGTTTTATAAGAGCTCATGTGTGTATGCCGCAGTTTATGTCTATTCGAGCAATTTTCTGAAGAAGACACAAAATATTTAATCATCCAACGCACAGTGGGTAAAATCTGAAAACAAAAGGAGTAGACTTTTGCAGAGAAAATTAATATTTATCTGAAATATTTAGTAAAAATAATTTAAGTACAAACATAAAGTTTTTTTAACATATGGTTTTTATATACCAACAAGCTTGTATTAAAATGTAAAAATATTCTTACTTATGTTTAAAATATAAAAAAATATTTTTTTAAAAGCAGAAAATTATTTTAGTTTGGTTTGATATTTTTAAAATATTTGTTTTATCATTTTTTTTACCAAACAGGAGATTTTAAATTAATATTTTTTTGGCAAAAGATTTTCTAATATTTTACCACATACCACCTATGGTAGGGTACCATTCTACCCATTGCAATCGGTAAATAATGCTGCCGTAGCTATTTTGATAAAGCGCGTAATCGTAAAAACGCTAATTATACGATTTTTGCAGCAATGCGATGATTAAATGTTGCGACCGCCGCAGGCCCGTCGACTCTTCCTGCGATTGCCAGCCCATCTTCATCTTTTCAGATGGCAATCGCAGGGGCCTTGGCCTCCGCCTAGCTCAAGATAAAACTCTTCGACTGGGACTGGGCCTGAATCAGAGACTGAGACTGGGTCCAAGTCGCAGCTTAATTAGCGTAGAAAAGGGCGCAGCCAAAGACATGCATCAAACAACTGCAGCAGCAACAACAACAGGTCGAGGAGGAGGAGGAGAAGGTGGAGCTGCAGCAGGTTTTAGTGATCTGTCATTGCCGGCAAATGGGAAAAGCAAAGGCAAAAGCAACAACTAAAAATAGTTGCACGTGCATGAATTTCGGACTATTAGACGTAATAGCTGAATGCATCATAATTTACCTTGACATTTAGACCAATGTCTGCGCATGCCAAAGTTAATTGCTAGCGAGCGAGCAACATGCAACAGCAACATAGCAGCGACAACAGCAACATCCACATCAACAACTATGCAAATGGTTTGCTTACACGCCTGCATTTTGATTAGGTTAACTATTTATAGCCATGCGATGCGGCATCAACGCCGGCAACATTCCAGTTGTGACTCACAAACAGCAGCAACATCAACGGCAGCAACACTTGCTGCTGCTGCTGCGACTTGGGGATAATCATATTGATATGCTTAATTAGCTGGAACAGCGACCACTGGCTGGCCGTTTCTGATAATCTTCTTGCACTGGGCAAACAGGTGCCACCTGAAGGTCAGCCACTTTTCAATGGCCAGCCGGTTTCTAGTTCTATAGTTCTAGTTGCAACACTGTTTTGATTTCAAAGTGCGGAGCACTTAAAGCTTCGATTGGCGCCCCAAAAATGCTACAAGTTCTGATAAAACAAATTCGATTTTTTATCTTTTTTTAAGGCTGCCAAAAAGACAGCCCAGCAGTTTAAAACGAAAATGAAAAGCGAACTCAAGCGCCAAAGTCGCCGACGCACCATTCAAGGCAGCCGCTGGGCAAATGTTTTTGGTTTTCGGTTTTGGTTTATGTTTCGTTCGAACTGGTCCGCTCCGTCTTGGGCCCAAAAACTCCAATTCCCTACTCCCTACTCCGACTCCGATTCCGTCTGCGTGTGCGTCTCGGTTTCTGTTTCTTTTTCGGTCTCGGCCTGGCCAACTTGGCAACCTTTAAAAGAATGCGGACTTGCCAGTAGTAGACACACACACGGTAGATAGGCCATATCGAAAATATATATACGTGTGCTTCTATATGTAAGGCATGCACAGAAAAAATAACTCAAAAAGTTTGTGGCAACAAAAGGTAACAACTCTTGTGCTGGCCGGTGATAAAGCCCCCAAGTGGGGTGGTCATGAAGTTCAGGGAATGCGGCTTAAAGATCTAGAGTCTGCAACTAGTAAAAGTAACGAGTACCTCGACTATCATGATGAAATGACGATATGCAAGAAGCAAAGCGACTGCTTGCACTGCTTGCATTTATTTGTTCATTTTTTGCCCATAACTTTTGAATATATAAATTCTTCTTATTTCTGGAGAAGAATGATGTTTTGGAAAATATTAAAAAATTTTTTATTTATATTAAAAATTAAAAACATTTAAGGAGAGCTCAAATTCCCCACATTTGCTTATTAAAAATGTCATATGTCATTTGGTTTTCTGGGTGTAGTTATAAAAATGAACTCTTCTGGCAACCCGTGGAGTCAATCCAATGCCGCAATTGTTGGCGGGATCATTTGAATCAGTGTGAGTTGGCCAAAGTGTGTGTGTGTTGCCAGTTGCAGTTGCCGCATGCCGCATGCCACAGCTGTGGCAGCCCGGCTTGTTTACAGGAATTTTACAACTATGCAGCCGGCTCCTCCAGCGGATCGGGCTAAAAGGATGAGGAGAAAATGTTGTTATTACTTATTAAGAAAAAAATCAACACACGACCGAGAGGGCAAATTAAAATAAAATTAAGTGCAGAGAAATATGGGGAAGTGGGGAGCTTTGGGGGGAAAGGCCATCGGCTTAGCCCTGTCCTTGTCCGACTGAAGCGCAGTTTAAAAAATAGTTTAGCAATCGTCAGCCCCGCGGACAGAGAGTCACGTTCGCGCTGCCCACTCCTTGGATCTCCCGATACCCCGATCCCCCGATCCACCCGATCCGATCCAAAGCCACTCACTCCATCTACTCCACATCATCGTCATGCGGTAATGAGCCAAGTGAGGTTCTTGGAATTGCGCCAGCGGCGCGTCCTTGAAACTGGTTTCGCCTCATAAACAAGGCGGCCATTTGCCTGGATATCGGGCTCCATAATGCGGCCAGAACCTATGACTCGGACCTCGTATCTCGGACCCCGGCTGTGCCTCCGACTCCGACGATTCTCCAACCGAAACCGATGCCATCTCCTGGCCATTAAAATTTTGTACTATTAATTAGACAACACACACAGGCAATTTATGGCAATGACCTCTCGCAGACCAATTAAATGCACATTACGACAACATATTGTTCGGTTCTAAACCGCAGGCCCATGCTTAAAAGCGTCTATAAAAATCAGCGAGACAAGGTTCAAAGCTTCTGATAAAATTAGCAAAATTATTACTGAACAGTAGCCGGAGGAACTGGCGCTGACTGTGGCGCATACTTGAATCGTCGGGGGACATTTTTGAAGGGGGAAATATACATATAGACGGGGGCCATCATCGAGTGGAAGAAGCAGAGAACAGCCGGAGGAAAAGCTAAAGAATTGTATTTGGACAACTCGCAGTGGACAGTGGTTTAAATCTAAAGTTGTATTTGTTTTTTAACAAATAGTAATAAAGATTAAATATAAGTATACAATAAAAAATTAATTGAATTTAAATTTACTTCTGCTAAATGAAATTGTATCTCTTAGGAAAAGGGGTGAAACATTTTAAAATGTAAAACGCTTCATACGAATTTTATTTTACTTTTAAATTTTAAAACGTTTTTACAAGAAAACGGCACTTAAAACGTTGTTAAAATTTCTCTGTGTTGCATTTATTTCAATACCTAAGAAATAAATCAAAATTTACATCAGAGATGATTAGATTTTTAGCAAAGCATTTGAAGTGATAAATCTCTGAACTTATTGTTATTAAGCACTTACAATTTCAAGTCAGATATTTAAAAGAAAACAATCATTCAGCGTTTTATGACTGTATTTTAATTGTAATACCACTGCACATTACACAGGGAACCATTAAGAAAATAATGAAAAAAAAGGATTAATACCAAAGTACTTTGACCACACATGTTAGTCTTAGTTTTGTAAACTATACTATACTCTATAATAATTAATTAAAAAGTTACAAATGTTCTATAAAACCGTGGCCCTAATTCATGTATCAAACTGTTTCGATGGTGACTTCCGGTGATTGTTCACCATATATGATTTCTTTCTGTGTACAAAATGCGTCCGCCGATGCACACGCAAATGTCACATCAATTAGCCGCACCGAGGGCCTCTAGATGTGGCCATTGCAGCTGGCTTAGCTTAGCTAAGTTGGCTAACGCCGACTAGCCTGCTAAGCGAGGCTCGTAAAACATCAAATTAACTTTGACTAGGTTGGCTAATTTGAAAAGTAAAAGGCAGTCGGGCGAATTGGCCATCTCGAGCTGTGGTTGCGCAGCGTTTGAGCGGTTCAATGCCCGCCCGGCCACCCACTCGACAGCTGTTGGCTGACCTTCGCCGCATGGCGTTGACTTTCCTTGATTTCTACACTAATCAGTTGGCAGAATGTTGGACAAATATTGTGACACCAGCCAGCAGTGGGTAAAAACAAAGCCACAGCCACTGAGCAAATATTATATAAGCACACACCACACAGCATGTTTTTGGTTATTTTTTTATAGCTGTCTGATAATCACCTTTGATGCGTTTATTGAACCGATAAGACGACAGATCCATTGGCTTAATGGGGAAGTGCCGACCGACTGATAAGCGATTTACATACGGGGAAAGTGGTTGCATTTATTTATAGACTATGAACTGCTCTATAAATACATAGAGTAAATCAAAATGTAAGCTCATTCAGATGGGATTTAATCATAGTCTGGGATCTGTTATCAAGCAAAATCAAAGTCAGGAAAGTAGGAAATCGATGGTTAAACATTGGCCATGCTATTTGTTAAAGTGGCTAAGGCAGCGGCAGCAGCAACACTTCAAAATTTGCTGCAATTTGCGTTAATTATACGCTCCGTTGGACGAAAAAAGCAACAGCAGCGAACAAATAGGGAATGTCGATGGAGATTGCAGACAAATTTGGGCCATAAAAAGAGCTCTACTCAAATTTAGCTTTTCCCGAAAATTAACCCACCAATTTTTCTTCAATTGCAGCAAACAACAGCAACAACATAGTATGCGTCTCTTCAAAACGCGCAAATCCACGGACACCTACAGCACACTAGCCGCTCAGCAACACCAACAGCAGCAGCAGCAACAACAGCAGACCGACAACAGCAACATTTGCCAGAGCAGCAGTAGCAGAAGTCACACGCCAGCAACATGCAACAACCGACTGAACAAGAGCATTGCGAACAGCACCACCATATCCTCATCGCTGCCTGATCTGCATGACAAGTCGCCCGTCATGATACTCAGCTGCACCACCCTGGCCAGCAGTGGAGCCACCGCCACGGCAGCGGTCACAGCAACAGCCAACGGCACACCGGCAACATCTGCCGGCGGTCTGCAGCAGCAGCAACATCAGCAACACCAGCAGCAGCCGTTACGCACGGCCACGCCCACATGCCTACTAAGTGGACGGCAGACGCCCTCGGCCATCTCGGTGTTGTCGCTCCAAGAGGCCACCAGTCTGCACCGCCAGCAGCAGCAGCAGCAGCAACATCAGCCACCCACCATCTATGTGCCCGTGCCCACGAAACTTGGCAGCAATGTCAACCCTGGCAGCAACTCGGCCACATTGCTCTTAAGCTATGGCAGCACCAACAGCATCGCCTCCATGCAGCAACAGCAGCAGCAGCATGCCGCCCAGTACCAGCAATATGTTGCCCAGCGTCTGCACGCCGCTTCCAGTAGTTGTCTGTACGAGAAGGGAGCCAATGCCAGCGGAGGACCGAGCAGCAACAAGAGCAGCCGATCCCTGACCCCGAATGGTAAGTAGAGCAACTATATTATCTGGAGTACCGATCCGGATGATCTCAAATTAACTTGATTTTCCTTAAAATTATTTAAATGGTTGTAATAATTCCAAAAGAATACCCCTTCAAATCGAGTAGTATGCTTACTCACACTTTTCCTAATAGACCATTATATTTATACCAACCTAACTTTAAAAAGGTACTTAACAATATAGCTTCTGACCTTCTTAAAAACCATTTCTGTTGCTTTGAACGAATAATTGCCAGTATAAATGATTCTTAAATATTAATATAAATTGTATATTTCATATTTCTTACATATAGACATTTTGCTCTTGCATATTTATATTTCTTACAATATTTTAAAAATTTTACAAAAAACTCATTTAAATTATATCATTTTATATAAAAATCTGCAATCATTTAGTTGCCAATGGCAAGCAATTTTCGGACCTGACGCCTCCTCAAAGTAACCAAAGCCTTTTAGCACACAAAAATGCCTCGCCATGTGATTGGGAGCACTGAGCAGGAAATGCGATCCGTTCTGTGTTAACATATTGATAAAGAAATTGCTCTTATCATCACAGACATTTACGAGTCTTAGCCAGTGATCCTTCCTCTTCTCCTGAACCTCCCAAATGCTACAGTTTGTATTGGCGCCGAAATCCAGTTGATTTTCAGGACCAACATAGAACATTTCCCTTTTGTGTAGCAGGCACAAACGTTGACTTTTCAGCAGAAGTCTCAAAGTTCTGGGCAAACTCTGTCCCATATTTTGCAGACTATTGTTCCACACTTCTGGGTGATTTTTTCGAAGTTTCATCAATTCCTGGGCAAAGTTAGAAAGAAGAATCTCGTTCAATAGCTGAGATCGGTGGAGGTACCAATAGAGGCTCATCCAAAGCCTCAGCTTAAAGGAATTCCCGGGATTGAGTTGGTTTTGCAGTTCCAGAGAGGATTTTCCCTCTTCCAGGAAACGCGACCAGGGAATATTCCAAGAAACTCGCTCCTGTTGTTCATCGCTTAAGGACAAACTCATTTCCTTAGTCCAATTATCAAAATCTAAATTACTCTCATTTAGATGAGTAACCACAAGTTCAATCAGTGGACCATAAATGCTGCCCTTATTAACAGATTCAGCAGGTCGTAGGACCGAACTCAGTCCCAAAAATATTATGAAAGAGGCGAAGACAACCATTGCAATGGAAAAGTTTACTTGAACTGATCTATAAAAGTCTTTTTTGTTCTGACTCAACTCAGATTTTACTGCTGTACTTCCTGGACTCCTGCCCTTATCGCTTATCGCTGTTTGCGTGTTTTTTTGATAATCTCTGAGTGAAGAGTGCAATACCCCGGTTTTCATTTCCTTAAACATTCTTTTATTATAGGCCACCTGCCTGACTACAAACTGGTGACAGCGGTGCCCGTTGTTGTCCTGGACGATGAACACAAATCGAATTCATTGCCAGCCAGTGAACTGTGTCGCAACAGCAGCGGCAACATCAACAGCAGCAGCAGCAGCAACATCAACAGCAGCAACAGCCTTGACGTCAGCAACAGCAACAGCAACTCGAACTCGGGCAGCTCCACTTCGTTGGCCAGCACCACGCGGAATGGTAAGTACTTTGGCCAAAAATAGAACCCAAATCCGGGCAAATGCCTGGAAATTGATTTTCCCATCAAGTGGCGGCGCCTCGAGTGTTTTTTTTTGCTTTTCCCTCGGAGTTTATTTTATTTTCGGGCAAATGGTTAGGGGAGTGCTGGGACAAAGGTGATGGTGAAGGCAAATGAATCCATAAATTAAAGACGGGCCGAGGGTTGTGTGTGTGCTGTCGGTACGGTATTAAGAGCTCAATTTAGAGCACATTTTAATTGAAACAATTAATTTCCGAAGCTAAACATAGGAAGCGGGCGGCACTCCCAGTGCTTCCGTGTTTAGCAGAGGGTAAATCAGTGGCCAATTGTCATCGATACGATGCGTGTTTTGCAGTATGGCACATGGCAAATGGCACACACTCCGAAATACCGTATTGACCTGATTTCGCATCAATGCGCGCCGACAACATCACCGCTGTAATGCGATCGCAACTGTCTGCAACTGGAATTTGTATTGTTTTCAGCCCGGCACGAGTTGGAAGTGGGGAGAGCAGGCTGTGGTCTCGTTTTTGAGGAGGAGCCCACCCCAAAATGCTATATAACACATGAGAAAAGAATATTTAAAATATTATAAAAGACCATTTTTTAATTTTCTGCCCATATATCATTATTAAAATTAAAATTATCTGTAAGATTTCGATATTTAAGATTACATTTTCTAATTTTAATTTTCAATTGTAGAGGAGGAGGATTGAATCGTTGGTTATTAAACTTTGTTAATAAAAAGTATTTTCTTTGTAAAGTATTTTCTCTCAGTGTAATATAGCCCCCAACCAACAGCCGACCAAGTGTGACAAAGCCGGGAATTATATGCCATTCAGTGCAGTTCAGTTGAGTTCACTTTACTTTGGTTGACTACAGTTTAGTTTCAATGATTCGCACAAAGAGTACTTTATTTATTTATTTTTGCCCGGTTATGTGATATGCGATTGAGGTTTTCGGTTGTATCGGATGGATGGGGTTGTAAGAAATTGATATGGGTATTAGAGCAGCTAGTTAGATAAGCGAAGAAATGAGGGCAGGAAGTGGCTGATGAAGTGATTGGCGAATTAAAGTCGAAAAGCGAAGAAAATATGGGAAAATATGAGCAAGAACCGTCTATTCGATTTTCACTTTTCCCTGACTGCTCTACCGACCACAGGCAGCCATTATAAGCCGAGTTCTAGCAAACGGCAATTCAAATAATGTTTTCTTCTACCTCTCTGCGGCAACCGCAAAACGTTTGATGATTGCATTCTGCGATGCCGGCCGACAAAAGCGGCCAAACAGCTGCAAGTCGGTCGAGAAGATATGGCAGGTTTTATCAGGTGCCGCCGGAATATGCAGCTGTTGCTCCGCGAGACTCATTCATCTCGAGACCAAAGCCACTCCAAAGCCATCGCCATTGCATGCCAACGTCGCATTTTAGGTTCGTTGAGCTTTTGCCGCCTCTAATGCCGAACTTAATTGGTTTTAATTAAAGTTTTGCCAAGTTTGCCGCCCCAAGGTCAATTCCAGTTTATATAAAGATATAGCTAAATAAACATTTAAGTTCGCGCAAAATGGCTTTCAACGCGAAGAGCTGCGAAAAAAAGATGGGAAATCAATAATCCGAAAGACTTTTAGGCCTTACTCTTCGCATAAATGCTATAATTTTCGATCCAGTTGAGGTTGGAGGATGTTTTCACCTCCTCCCTCGTTCATTTCTTTTTTGCTGGCGCTGCACGCATGCGCATTTATTGTGGATTATCGCTTATTACATGTTCCCCCGACTTGATTTCAAAACCGATTATTGATCTCTCATTTCCCGCCAACTCCATTCCGTTATGGCCAAGTCTTCTGAGAGGAATTATCCGCGAGAAATTCGCATTTGTACGTGAGATATTATTGCATGCCGTGTGCATTTGGTCTCTGCCCGATTCCCAAACTGATTTCGATTCTGATGTTGATTCTGTTTGATCTGAAAGTGGCACAAAATCGCGACTTTTGCGTGGAAATTTGCATAAAAGTATACTTGAGTATTCTTTTGATGGGGATTTTCTGATGCATATCAATTGATATGGAAACAAGGTTTCAAGATTTACAACTTTATATTTAGAACGATTTCACTTTGTTTGATTTGGAACCCTTAAAAATAATTCATTATGATGGGTACAAAATTCTACAGTTTAATAAATAAATATATTTTTGATATTTTAATAATAATACAATTAGTAGAGATTATTATGGACCATTCGTTCCTCTGGCAACCCTGGATAGCCCACTTCTTCCTCCTCTGCAGCACTTCAGATGCTCAGTTCCAGCTCTTTGGGTCTCAAATGGTTTTGCCTCAACATCGCTTGCATGTCAGCCGGCAAAATTGCAACAAAGCCATCTCCGACTCTCAGTCTCTAGTCGAGGGGTGGAATGGGAGGGAAATGGGAGGGAAACGGGCCTCTTGGGCTGGCGGGCATTTGACACCGTCTTGAAAGTTAAGTGGGTGTAGAATTTGTGGCATGTGGCCGGCGGTGACTGCAGATGGAGTTGGTGATGGAGAGAGGGGAACTAGGGGGATCGGGTGAGTCTGTTGGAGTGTGGCTGAGGTTGTCATATAATTGATGCCCGCGCGCCGTTTCCTATTATTGTTTAACACTCTGCCGCAGCTCCTCCTCCTCCATTTCCCTGGGCTGTGTGATTGCAATGGTGAAAACTTTAATCAAAGGCGAACTCGGTCAGGCCTTGGGTGGAGTTTCGCCGTTTGGAGCGGCTGTCAACCTGCATTGGCTCGGGATCTGGCCACCCCTCGAACGCCTTCTCATCATCATCATAGTCATCATCATCATCATCCTCATCCGCATCCCGATTTCCCGGCTTCCAAGCCGCTGCGCCCACACATGGCCTGAGCCAGGGCAATTTGAACGGACCAAAGCCCGCGGCTGGGCTGCGGCTATTAAACAACTTTGGCACGAGTCAGCGAAAGAAGCTGGATAAAGCCAGAGATGGCTCTTAGCATCCCCAGTGATCAGTGATCACTGATCACTGGTGGACCCACTGCTTGATAGTGTTATAATAAAATATGTATATATACAATTAAAAGCATATTCCCGTAAAATCGATATGGCCATGTAAATTTCAGGTCATGCAAAACCCATATCGTTTTTACATAAATTACCCTTTTTGACCAGGTCAAATTTACCTGACCGCATATAGAATTAAAATTGATCTTAAATAATGTAAAATCGATCTACCTTTTATATCGATTTTTTTGGTATAATAATATATGTAATTCTTAAGAATATTTTTTTTTGGATATGAAGATCATCTTCCGATTATAATATCCATTTTTTCCCAGTGCATGCTTGTAAGTGGGTTAGTCAGTGACCTGAGTCACTGCCTCGCATCACTGGTCACGGCTTTTGGGCCTCACTCCGCCACTCCGAGTTGATGAAAATAGTTTTGGAAATTTTATTGGTGGAGCCGTATAATGCGCTTTGAAGTCAATGGCAATGCGATGCCTTCTTGATCCCTCGAATCTTTGGCTGTGCATGTTTTATGCTAATTGTTCGTAAATGCCCCGTCCCGCTGCCTCAGCACCTCATTCTTCGGGCGATAAATATGGAACACGGGCATAAATTTGTTTATTAACCAGATTCGAAGAGGAGCATTCTAGCGCACAGTCTCCTTAGCTTTTTTAAGTGTTTGCAATTGCTATTAAGGCGCGATCGTTAAAATATTTTACGATGTTATTAGATATCCGCTGGGCGATGGGCAATCCGAGTCCATTTAATGATTGGTTATGCTCTATTAGTAATTGAGGTGTGTTTATTGCTCAATAACTGTGCAGAATTACGATCGTTCGCTGACCAGAAGATGGGCTGCTAATGCTGGAAATCAATAGAATTTACATGTCTTATCTATGTGCTTATTTTTCTGATTTTAAGCGCTGTTCTATTAAACTACTGATGTGAGAGGGTGTGAGTTGTAGGTTTAAAAGGAAATTAATAGGAAACTGCTTAGATTCTAAATAGTATATCATATATAAATAAAGTCTTTAGGAGGTTGGTTTATCAGAATCACTGAAAAAGGTATAACATTTTCCTATAAAATATCAAAATATGGAACCATTTTATCCCTCAACTCTGATCAAAGCCTCCTAGCATCCTTTCTTGTCAAAAGACTTCAACGTAAGCAGGGATCGCAAGTAAGAGTTACTTTTTTAAAAAAATTGACAAATAAGTTTTATTTTTCAATTTTTATTATAAAAGTTGACAAATAACTCTTATGCTTCAATTTTTATTATAAAAATCAACAAATAAGAGTTATTTGTCAACTTTTATAATAAAAATTGAAAATAAAGATTGAATTGATATAACTCTTGAACTGTACGGTACATTGGTTTAAAATTTATATATATATAATCTACGCTTTAATACCTTTCTGTTGATATGCCATATGTCCCCAAAATATTTTTTACAATAATAATATTTGTTACATCATAAAAAATATTTTGGGGACATATGGCATATCAACAGAAAGGTATTAAAGCGTAGATTATATATATTTAAATTTTAAACCAATGTACCCCAGAGTTTAAGAGTTATTTCAATTCAATCTTTATTTTATTATAAAAGTTGACAAATAACTCTTATTTGTTGATTTTTATAATAAAAACAAGAAAGGAAGCTACCTTCGGCCAGCCGAAGCTTATATACCCTTGTAGATAAAAGAATACTCACTCGGTGCAGTTCCAGGGATTCCAGATTCAGCGTTTCGATTTATTTCAATTTTGTTTTTAAGTAGTCAAGAATCTAAACGCCTACTTCCTACAAAGTTACAATGAATTTTCTTATATTTGTTTGGGAGCCTTAAGATATAGTGGTCCGATCCGGCTGGCTCCGACATATGTACTACCTGCAATAGAAAGAAGACCTTCGGGAAAGTTTCATCGCGATAGCTTTAAAACTGAGAGACTAGTTCGCATAGAAACGGACAGACGGACAGACGGACAGACGGACATGGCTAGATAGACTCGGCTATTGGTGCTGATCAAGAATATATATACTTTATGTGGTCGGAAACGTCTCCTTCACTGCGTTGCAAACATCTGACTGAAATTATAATACCCTCTACAAGGGTATAATTGAAGCATAAGAGTTATTTGTCAACTTTTATAATAAAAATTGAAGCATAAGACTTATTTGTCAACTTTTATAATAGAAATTGAAAAATAAAACTTATTTGTCAATTTTTTTAAAAAAGTAACTCTTACTTGCGATCCCTGAACGTAAGTTAAGGTCGAAAGATCTTTAGGGCCGACATCTTCTTTTGTGACTTTATGTGGGGGGAACTCCAACCGCAAATGCCTTGAAATCGGATGCCTTTTCACAAGCACGTGGCAAGCCCGCTGACCACAATGCAGCTGAAGTGGAGTAGATTGTCATTGGCCATGTTGACCATGTTGACCATGTTGGCCATGTCCAAGATCAAGTCCATGTGGAGGCCTGGACATTTTTCATCTGTCAAGAGACTTGTGGCGAGGCGTTGAGATTTATTGAAGTGTTATAATTAAGTTAGAAATCGCTTTCTGATTGCAAATTCTCTTTTCTTCCCTGCTCCCCCTTTAGTTTTCACCTGGGGCAAGCGCATGAGTCGCAAACTGGATCTGCTGAAGCGCAGCGATTCGCCCGCCGCCGCCCACAAATCGCACTCGGATCTGAGGAGTCTGTTCCACTCGCCAACGCACCACAAGAGTGGTGGTGGCTCCGGTGGTGGATCCAGTTCGGCGAAGGCTTCGCCCTCACCCACGGGCGGCCAGCAGAGCAGCTCCGGCTCCAGCACGACCAGCACTACCAGCACCCTCAAGAAGTGCAAGTCGGGGCCCATTGAGACGATCAAGCAGCGTCACCAGCAGCAGCAGCAGTTGGTCCAGGATGTGGGCTCTGGACAGAGCCAGAGTGCTCAGACCACGCCCACGCATCAGTTCCAGGCGGCCGCCCGCCCACAGAAGGCGCTGAAGAACTTCTTCCATCGGATCGGCTCCACCGGCATGCTGAACCATCGCTCGCACAACCTCCTCAAGGCCTCGGAGGCGTCGCAGCAGGCCACACCGGCTTCCACCACTCTGTACAGGAGCAGTTCCACCAGTCAGCTGTCCAGCTGCTCCTACGTCAAGTGTGACGATCCCACCGAGGGCCTCAATCTTCAGCGGGAACAGCGCGAGCAGCAGCAGCGACTTCCGCGGATCTCCAGCCTGAAGTCCAGTAGCTGCGATGATATAGCCAAGGTGAGCAGTTGCCTGACGGCCAGCACAAGTGGTGGCAGTGCGGCAGGCAGCCTGGGATCTCCTCCTGCCAGTAATGGAGGATCATCTGCTGGGGGAGGAACTACCGCATCCAGTGGCCAACAACACGATCCTTCGCGACGTGGAGCCTTTCCCTACGCCTTCCTGCGATCCCGCCTCTCCGTGCTGCCCGAGGAGAATCATGGCAATGGTGCGGGTCACCTGAAGCAGCAGATTCAACGGCAGCGGGAGCAGCATCTCCTCCAGGAGCAGGAGCAGGCCTCCCAGGCGTCGCCTCTGCCCCACCGCCGATCCCCCGAACAGGCGATGCTGGGCAATGTGTCGCGCAACGATAGCATCACGTCCAAGGACTGGGAACCACTTTACCAAAGATTAAGTAGTTGTCTGAGTTCAAACGAGTCCGGCTACGACAGCGATGGGGGTGCGACGGGAGCCCGGCTGGGCAATAATCTGAGCATCTCCGGCGGAGATACCGAATCTATTGCCTCGGGCACCCTCAAGCGCAACTCGCTCATCTCGCTCAGTTCGTCGGAGGGCGTGGGCATGGGAATGGGTCTAAGTTTGGGAATGGGAGTAGCTCCTTCGACGCGGAACAGCAGCATCTGCAGTGCTCCGGTGTCGCTGGGTGGCTACAACTACGACTACGAAACGGAGACGATCCGGCGGAGATTCAGGCAACTGAAGCTGGAGAGGAAGTGCCAGGAGGACTACATCGGGATCGTGCTGTCGCCCAAAACAGTGATGACGAATAGCAATGAGCAGCAGTACCGGTATCTCATTGTGGAACTGGAACCCTATGGCATGGCTCAGAAGTGAGTATACATATTAGAGCCCTGCGTGAATCATTCAATTTTTGTTTTATCAAAGTATGCCATGAAATTTCTGATTTGTTTAATTCAATTCAATGTCAAATAATTTAATGTTTTTCTAATTCATTTCGAATTGAATAAAATTTATTAATAAATTAATGAATAAATTTAATGCATTTTTTTATTTTGCCAGGTTTTTGTTTGTGCTTTCTTTTCAGAAAATTTTTAACAAGTCAATGTTAACTGCATAGTAAATAAAATTCAGGCAGATTTAACCACATAATGATGGCCCTTTCTTCCTCAAAAGAAATTGTCATTAGAATTATTTTATAATTCATGCCATTCATTCAATTAATTCTATTAAACTCAAAATTCAATTTCATTCAATTCTATTAAACTCAAAATTCTAATTAACTCATTCATATAAAACAAAAAATTCAAAATAATTCATTGAATCCATTCATGCAGGGCCCTAATACATATATATCTTTCTATAATCCTATCCTATTTCTTTTTTAGGGACGGTCGTCTGCGTCTGGGCGACGAGATAGTCAACGTGAACGGCAAGCACCTGCGCGGCATCCAATCCTTCGCGGAGGTCCAGCGCCTGCTCAGTAGCTTCGTGGACAACTGCATCGACCTGGTGATTGCCCACGATGAGGTGACCACCGTCACCGACTTCTACACCAAAATCCGCATCGACGGGATGAGCACGCAGCGCCACAGGTTGAGTTATGTCCAGCGCACCCAGAGCACCGACAGTCTGGCCAGCATGCAGAGTCTGCAGCTGCAGCAGGAGAGGATTCAGGGGCAGGAGACGGACCCGCAAGGCGAGGATCAGTGCGATGCCCGATCGATGGCCAGTGTCAGCACAATGCCCACTCCGATGCCACTGATGCAGCACCGAAGGAGCTCCACGCCGAGACACTCACTGGTGGAGGTGGCTGGGCCGGAGCACGAGCTAATCAGAAGGCGGGCACGCAGCTCCTCAGGTCAGCGCAGCTTGGCTCTAACACCGACCCCACTCAGCAGCTGCTCCTCCTCCCCTAACCACCGGTTGATGGTTGATAACGAGCATGACCCCGCTAACGACACCGATTCCTATACGCCAGTCTATGCAAGTCGGGCGGCGAGCGTGTGCGTGGCCTCCTCGCTGGCGGACGACGAGAAGTGGCAGCTGCTCGCGCGGAAGCGCTGCTCGGAGGGATCAGCCCTGTCCGCCGGAACGAGCCAACAGCAGTTTGGCCAGCGCACCCACTACGCGAGGAACTCGATCAATCTGGCCAACTCGCACTACCGCTCGCTCCGGTTTGCCCACTCTCGGCTGAGCTCATCGCGGCTCAGCCTGTTCATGCAGGCGCCGCCACCTAACAGTCTAACCGTCGGGGAGGGAGTCGCTAACAACCCATCCTCCACCACTGATCTCACTAACCAGCAGCAGCAACAGCAACAGCAGCCAAACCAGCCACAGACACACCAATCACTGTACATCAAGCACTCGCCAAAGAGCGTCTCATTGTTCTCGCCTAATCCCTATGTTAACGCCTCAGCCTCCGCCTCATCCTCACCAGCCTCACAGGCATCCACATCGGCAGGAGCGGGAGCTTCCCTGGCCCCGCCAGCCGCCGCCCTAATGCATCACAGGCCATCGCTGCCGGTGGCCAAGCTAACCATACGCGACGAGGAGATGGCCGAGGTCATCCGCGCGTCCATGAGCGAGGGTGAGAATCAGTAACCAATAATCAACTAAAAAGTCTAGCAGAAGATTCGATTTTATCACATTGAGTTAATATTTTTAACCTATTTTTATTTTTAAAATATTTAAACAATTTTCCTCACTTACTTTCTTAATTACTAACATCAAATATTTTGAAGTTTTCTAATTACTATTATATTATTTTTAATTCTTTTTTTATTGTTATATAGTTGTTTTATGTTTTTGATTATTATTATTTTTTAAATATTATTATTTTATTTTATTGTTATTTTTTTTTTGAACTTATGTGTACTGCGATTTTAAATGATCTTTAACTTTATTATAAAATTGAGTTGCGCTCCTAATTGTTTTGAATTGGTGCGATTAGATTTTCAAAGTAATAACTAATTATTTTGAAATAATTAATTTTACAGGCAGTGGTCGTTGCACCCCCAAGACCATCACCTTCTTCAAGGGACCTGGACTGAAATCTTTGGGCTTCAGCATAGTGGGAGGTCGGGATTCGCCCAAGGGCAACATGGGGATCTTTGTTAAGACCGTATTTCCCTCGGGACAGGCAGCCGATGATGGTACACTGCAAGCAGGTAAGTTCTTTACTAGCAAACCTAGATAGAAAATAGTTAATAATATTAAATCCCCGCAGGCGATGAGATAGTGGAGATCAATGGCAACTCCGTGCAGGGCATGAGTCATGCCGAGACCATAGGACTCTTTAAGAACGTTAGAGAGGGCACCATTGTGCTCAAGATCTTGAGAAGAAAGTAAGTGAAGCAAATCATAAAACTTTTAAAATCTAAATCTAAAATTTAAATCTTTTCTTTTGCAGATTGCAAAAAGCTAAATCGATGGGTTGTTAGTTGATACCCACATTGGAGTTTTCCTTATGATTAAATACCTGATTATGGACAACCTGCATCGTTTAACCAAGTTAAATGTTAGCTTCATTAAGTGAAGCCCTTTTTCGTAATCGTACAAAGCCCCTTGAAAGAACTATACTTATATACAGACTCTATTTAGCATCTAGCATCCCAAATAGTGTGTAGTCAATTGTATGGAGTTACAATTTTAAATTATTTACCCATTCTAGACTAGGCTAAGATTCGAAACGTTGTACAAGTTATATTTACATTCAAGTTAAATATATTTACCTGAAAAGCAAAATGTGTCTTGTTTTACTGAATACTTAATAAAATAAATCACGCTGTTTCCGTTTCGTCCTTGACAATCAGTCGTTGTTTTTTTACAAAATGTTCTATGCGATTCTCCAAGCTCTCTGTAAACATAATTAATTAGAATGATTGATAATACTGCGATTTTAGTATACATACCACAACGTTTTCGTTCCAAGAGAGGCTGATATTGACGCGGCTTGACGGAATCCTGCAGCAGGATGACTTGTGCCTGGACTTTCTCTTTGGGCTTAAAGTTATCCTCTAATATGCTTTCCAGTTGCTGAAGCACATTTCGTATCATGGTGCTTTTAACGCTGAACTGCGTCCACTCGCATTGCGTGTTTTCAATTAGCTTCTGTAGGTTTTCTTCATTGTAGATCCAGTTGGTAAGATCACTTTGCTCTGCCGAAGGGGGAGCAACTGAGGGCTCTATTTCCTCAGTGCCCGTATCCATGGCTTCTTCATCGGCATTCCCGTCAGATGGATGATTTATACTCCTCGTGGTCTTGTCCCGGAAATCACAGCGGAAAAGATTCAATGGCAAACCAACAGCGGGAGTGTATTGAGGCTTGCAGGGATTAGACTCCACATCGAGCAGATCGCTGATAACACTGGGTTTCTCCTTCCTTTGACCAACAAGTAGTAGCACTGCCATAATGCAGCGTATCTGGTGCCAGAGAAAGGCATTGGCTTGAATCTCCAGGTAGTACATGTCGTAGCCTGGGGAAACGTTACAAAAAAGGTGAGGATTCCTGTAAGTAAACACCATAACCAACCTGTTTTGGATTGATTCTCGTCACACGCTTGCACCCTGGCTGATTGCAAATTCCTCATGTAGTTCGTGACCCCATTGTGTACGTCCATTTTGCAGAAATTCCTGAAATCCGCATGGCGCACTAGGAGATTACAGGCTTCCTGCATCGCAGAAATATCCAGGTCGCCCTTGGGAAAGTAGTAACGATAGCTACGCGAAACGCAATCGAAGCGAGCGCTATAAATTGGACTGCGCAGTGGCATCCAGGCCACACACTGAATGTTCTTGGGCAGCACTCGATTCAGCAGGCCACAATAGTCGATCTCGGAGGACAGGGCAGTGGGATCCAGTTGGTTCTCGGGCGGATGCTTGCTACGCAGATCGATGGAGATCACCTGGCAGAAGGCGCTCACCTCCTTGTCGGTGCGTCCACAGCGGTGATAATTTGAGGTGGCCCTAGATTCGATGAGGCAGGTGCGGGTTAGAGCCCGGAACAAGTTGGATTCTGTGGGTAAACAGATAAATACATGAGTACAAATTATCGAAAATTAGCTAGGAATCTACCGATGGTATCATTGGAGTCCTCCTGGCAGGCAAATCCTTGATAGTCCCAACCAAAGTAGGTGATCTTCAGCAGAACATGACGCCGGTGGGCACTGCAAAGGGAATGAGATCTATTAAGCTCAATTATTAACCTTAATACCCACTTACTTACCTGCTCCAATCGAATTTGCGTTGCTTTTGCGCCTTGCTGGATAACTTCTGAGCATCTTTGGAAGCTGTGTCCTCAGTTTCCTTTCCAAATAACACCGCATATTCCTCATCGTTTTTATCCTGTTCGGTTAACTTCTTCTGCAGCAGATTTCGCAGCTGAAAGTTGTAGGCCTCCAGTTGGACCACCTTATCGATCAGCTCCGTCTGGCTTAGTTTTTCCAGCGCCTCGCGAGGCAGGCCTTTTAAGCGTTTATTTATTACCACTTTTTTGTCATTTGTTGCACTCATTTTGGCGGTAAATGGAAAATAAACAAATGGAAAGCTACACGTGAAATTCGACTAGGCGGTTTGCCATTCACAACGCAACGCGGGCATTGAAGATGTGAAATAATTATTTTCTCGTAATAGCCTGTTTCCACTATCAAAGTTACTTGCATTTGAAAATGAATGAAGAAGTGTGAGGGATAAGTAAAACTGATTCATTACTAAAAGTAGGTAAAAAGCCGATTTAAAATTCCCATTCATATATTTATTATATTTAATTTTTTGATTCTGAGATAATTTTTCTACAGTAGGCCAAATCAAAATGTCAACCACACTATAAAAAAGAATGTAAAATGAGAAACTCGTTTGTGGGCAGTTAAATGTTTATTGATTCTATTTATTTCAATAAATAAGAAAGAAATTTTATTCAATGGTAAAATAACGGTATATTCTGCAAGCAGTATTTTTGAATGTGGTATATTTTCCCCTGACTATTGGTATCTTTCGTGAGTCGCCGCGCGGTCATACTGCTCGAAGGCTACTTGTTTATAATTTACTTGAGTTTCCACAAAAAACTTAAAAATCCCCTGGAGATCAGGCCAAAATAGAGTCCTAGTGCTCGGTTACGCGACCCAAGATCTTTCGCTGCCATTTGCTGCTTGTGTGGTGCAGCATCTGCGGGTGGGGGACACCACGAACGCCAGGAAGGAAGGAGGCAGCAGCAGCAGCAGCAAGGACACCAAAAAGGATGGACGCGTGCAGTCACAAGGTCGACGGCGAGAACGACAATTGCGAGGCGACCTTGGCCGCAGTGAATCTGAATGTCCTTCCCGATGAGATTCTCGAGTTCATCTTCACCTACCTGCCGCCCTACGGCGACCTGGAGCACTGCAGTTTGGTGTGCAAGCGATGGCAGGCCATTGTAAAGAGTGGGTATCCAAAAGGTCATAGTTTCCCCCTTAATCAACCTCTAATCCTTCCCAGATCTCGTGCGCCGCTCCAAGTTGAACCTGGAGAAGGGCCTCACCGACTTCCGGCTGCGCTGGGAGGTCTTCTCCCAGCAGACGGTTAATGGAGGGGCTGGAGCTCCGCTCTCCTTCATCGCCGGACGCTTCGCCCACTCGGCCGTGCGGCATGACAACTCCATGTACGTGTTCGGCGGCGGCTCCTCCTCGGACACCACCTTCAACGATCTCTGGCGCTTCGATTTGACGCACATGCGCTGGGCGCGACCGGTGGCCACTGGGACCTATCCCTCGCCCAAGGGCAGTGCCTCCATGGTGGCGTGGCGGGATCAGCTGGTGCTCTTCGGCGGCTGGCGCTACCCCTCGCTGCATCCTCCCTATCAACCGTGGTGTCTGTTCGACGAGCTGCACTACTATGACCTGGGCAAGAATCGCTGGCTGTTGCGCAACTCCCTTTCCTGCCCACCACCCATGGCCGGGCACTCGGCCACGGTGCACGGCGATCGGATGGTCATCTTCGGCGGCTACCAGATCAAGGACGACGTCAATGTGAACTCCAACGATACGTGGGTGCTGGATCTGCCGGAGCAGCGCTGGTGGCAGCCGCTCTTCGTCGGAAACACGCGACCCAGTCCGCGGTACGGACAAATCCAGGTGGAGCTGGGCAGGAATCATCTGCTGGTCGTCGGCGGATGCGGCGGCGCCAATCGGGTGTACACCGATGCCTGGCTGCTGGACATGACCAGGGATGTGTGGTGCTGGAAGTCGCTCAATGTGCGCAACAAGCGTTTCGGAGCCGTCCACATGTGGTGCAATCCCGGCTGCAAGGTTAACAACTATCTGGTGGTTGTGGGACCATCGCCCAACATGCCGCAGGACTTCCAGATGATGAAGCAGAGCAGAGTGCCTGTCGTCGGAGGTCGTGGGCCGCCTCCACCGAATCCGCTGCAGAATCTTCCCCCAAGGGGACACCGAATACCCATGCCGGAACGTCGTTTGGGCGGAGGAATGGCTGGTCCTGGACAGAATCGCGAGGGAAACATCCGTCCCCGAGTGGGAGGAGCAGCAGCAGCAGCTCCTCTGGGTCCTCAGGAGCAGTATTTGGCCAATCGACGAGCAATACTCAACCAGCATATGCAGCAGGCCCAGCAGTTTCTGCACAACAGCAATGTAAACAATAATAATAATAATAACTACCAGCCACGCTCGGGAAGATTGAGTGATCTTCATGCCCCGCCAGCTCCACCGCCGGCTGCTTCTCCCCCATCCCCGCCCGTGCGACCAAATGCTCCTCCATCACCCGCCGATGGCGATGTGGATGCCGCCCAGCGCCTGCAAAGGAATCTGGCACTGAGGTGTCGTGATAATGAACCCAGGCTTCCCAAACGCTTCGATGAACTATACGAGGTGAGTGATTATTAGACCTCTAATTTTGCAAATTTGTCCATTCCTGGTCCGATTTTTACCAAAATTTCTAGGTAGGTGTCGTATTTTTCTAATGTAATAAATTCGGATGCATATCGGAAATACTCAAAAAATATATGCATAAAATATATATAAAATATTTTCAATGCAGCCCTCTGGTACTCTAAAAAACCTTCTGTAAACCGACGAGCCATTTAAACGAGCAGTTTGGCCGATAGGGCCAAAAACTATTATGCCCCTTTTACTAGTTTTGCCCCCTTCTCGCCTACTCGTTGAAAATATAAATAGGGGTTCCTTAGATTTGGGAAAAAATTAGATATCTCAGAAATGACGAAAAGGAACAAACAATTTTCTTCGGGCCAATTAGGTTGGCTATGAAATAGTCAATCTGGAATAGTTGAATTTATTTTATACTTTGCATATTTTATGCATATGCATTTTATGCAAATATGCAACAAAAATAAAATATGCCATTAATTTTAAACTATATTTTTATTGAAACGGACTTTAATGTTTTCGGAATTGATCTATCTTTTTCCTATAAAAATATGCAAAATCCGAGGTCTAGTGATTATTAGACTTGCTCCCGAAAAGCCTTACTAAATATTTGTAATCCCCCACAGGATCCCTTTCGTATGGCCGCCTTTAATGTGCCCACTCGATCGCGAAGTGCCTCGCGGGATCACAACGAGCGCATCCGGCGCATGGAGGAGAAGATGAACGCCATCCGGAACTCGCGACGCAGCGCACCCGCCGCCGCCCAGGTGGAACCGCAACCACTGCGTGCCCCCTCGCCCAAGCGACTGCGCTGCAATGTGCAGTCCCTGTTCGTTTGCGACATCTCCAGCATCCTGGACAGCAGCGAGCCCACTCTCGACTGGGTGGAGTACAAGAACTTCGGCGTGCTCAAGGGCGCTCCGGATCGCTTGATCCTCTCGAGCCTCATTGCTGGCAACGGTGAGCTGATCCTGTTCGGGGGCGTGCACAAGGAGACACTGACGGACATCACACACCATGTGTCCAATTCCATACACTTCCTGAGTGTGCCACGTGATATTATCTAAGCTCTGAAGCGACGTCCGCCCGTCCTAGTCCTAAGTTATCCGGATAGCAGATTGCCGCTGCTAGCCGCCACCCCCTCCCAAATCCTTCAAAGTTCGGCGTTCGACGTTCATTTAGATATTAAATTGAGTGTAATGGATGTGTGTTTTATGATTATAAACGATTAACTTCTAGTGGATCTCCAATCCTTGTCTCTTACTCTAGTTGTCCAGCAATTTGATCAAGTCGTAGGCTTGCTGGAAGCGCATATCACAGAGTTCATCTTGGCAAGCAACGCACTGCTCCAAGAGCAGTTGAAGTCTTTCGTTGTCCACATTCTTGAGCAGGAAATCCCTCAGGAGAAGGCATGCCTGATAGACATTCGCATCCAGCTGCTGGCCGGAGCAGAAGGCCGAAACATCAAAGGTGAATCCCTCGCCTGGAAGGGGTTCGTATTTCTGTGCCTCTCCTGAAGTGGATAAACCGTCAACCAGAACCAACGAATCCAAATCGACGAGAGTCACCCTCTGGTTGAGTTCGTCATAGGCAAAGTTATCAGCCGTGAAATCGGTCAAGTAGATACGAAAGTCTGAGAAGCCAAAGGTCAACTTAAGGGATAATTCCAGCAACTGGCGAGACAGCTCCAGGCGTAGATTTTCCTCCGCTTCTGCGTAGTGTATTAAAGTTTGTCCTGCATAGGCTTGAAAATGTGTAAGGCCGCAGGAGGCGTAGGTCCTTGGCACAGGAAATTGCAGTGAGTGCAGTTCTTGCATAAGAAGCGGACTGACGTAGTGCATCATGTAGAACCAGCTGCTGGCGGCGGCATGTCCTCGCTGCTCTAAGTATTCAACAAAACGAGCCTTTTTTGCAAAAGTTCGGCAAAGATGGAAGCCACCAGGTCGCTCCTCTAGCTCTAGAAATATCTTTTTCGTGTTTTCTACATCATGTTTTTGTTCATAAATGTTCTTTCTTTTTGCCACTACTTCGGTTTCCCAATCCTCCTCTATCAGGTCAAGAAAATAAACAGTCCTACGATCAAAGAGCAAGGAGATGCCTTTTAGAAGTCTGCTCCAATCCGAGGGCTCTGCTATTTTCTGGAATATCTCCTCGCACTGTTCACGCTGTCCAGTGAAGCATTCGTGACACAATTGCACATCCTTCTCGAAGAGATCCTGAAAAATGTCCCTCTGCGGCTTCACCTGCAGCTCCTGCAAGAGGGCCAGAATGAGCACGACTTTCAGTTGTCCAGGCGGCAGGTGCATCACAGGGAGCTGCAAAGAGAAAAGGGGAAAATGTTAGTGTTGAGGCCACGATAAAGGGGCTTGCCAAACGACAAAAGAAGCCACACGTGTGTGTATCTGGGGGAAATGTGCGTGAGGGCCCAGCCTCCAGAGTCCACTGGCCCATTACCTGTTTGGCCAGCCACATGCCAAAGCCAAACTTAAAGCAGATGCGGTGAAGAATCGCTAAACGAAGCATTTCTACTCTTTCAACATATATTTATCGCAGATTTTATTTAGAATTTTAAAAAATGTGAAGAATATTTTTCATTTTAATTTTATTTCTGCATGGAATATAGAAATATTATATTTACAAAATAAATAAATGCTTTTAACGATCAATAAATAATAAATAATTCTATAAACAATATTTATATTTAGCAAAAAATCAAGAAAATGTAATTGCTTTCGGTCTGATTTTCGATTGTTAAAGATTGAACAGATAATCGCAAATAAATCCATACACATTTAGGCATGCGTAATATTTTTAACTTATTTAAATCTTAATAGCTTTCTAAAACTTTCCTAATTCTTAACTTATCTAAATCTTAACAGTTTTCTAAAACTTTCCTAACAATTCTGAGGAACTTTAATTTCTTCAGCAAAAAAGTGAAACATAAATTTACAGATATTCTAACTGCTACTATTTTCCATTGTTTATACACAAAAGAGGTTCCCAGCATAAACAAATGGTCTTATCTTCCTAGTTCTCCTGTGACTATTTCCTAAATCTGATACCTCTAACTTGACCGTGATCAACGCTGATTAGATTACTACGCCATTGTCGCAGAAATAAGACCCAGATCTTATTTTATGTCGCGATAGTGAGATGGCAGATATACCCCGCGAAGTGCGAAGAGTATGAGAGCGACTGGGGTCTACAGAAATAGCTTTGGTGTGCTTGGCTTCCCATGCTGAACTGAAGAAGACACCATTCAAAGGGTTCAAGGTTGGCCGTCAATCGCCGGCGGAAAGAAGCCAGGCAGACGCTTAATTTGTAATCTCTGCAGAGGTGGAAGAGCAGACATTATAAAGATACCGGTTGTATCCCTTTGGCCCTGCCTTATACTTCAAAATTAATTGGTCCCCCTGAAATGGACTGGATCTGGGAGAAGACGTTAGAGTTCTGGTGCTCATTCTTTGGCGACCAAGAGGAAGAATCAGTACCTACGTCTTCTCCGGAACTTCAGTCTACCAGAAGGATATCCCGTGTTAGATTTAGTCGCAGCACCATTCAACAATTTCAACTTCACGAACTGCAACAGTTGGGCTCTACGAATGCCTTTTTCAACTTTCTCCTGGTCCAGCGAATGCGACAAGTGGGTTTGGTGGGTCTCAACTACCTGGATGTGGTCAATGCCAATAGCTTAATTTCAGAGAAACACATATGGGACGCGATGGATGAGAAGAAACGGGAGCCCTACCTAAAGCTGGCTGAAAGTATTCGACAGCGACATATGGGAACCTTTCAGGACAAGAGGAAACTGGAAGAAAGGGGCTACCAGATACGCAGGAGCATCTTTAATTCAGACCAGAGCAGAGCTAAGAGCCCGCAGAACTTGGAGAACAAGTGAGCGACCGAGAGAGGCCAGAAAAGAAGAGACCCCAAGTCGCTTGGAGAACGTTCCCAAGTGCCAAGTAAGATCAGTTGAAGGTGGCGCGTTGCGCTCGACGGTTGTATTTATTCTGGTTCTCGCTTAAGTTCTCCGATCCGTGCAACAACAGCTGGGTCGTCCGATATCGGTCAAGTTCAGGCGACGACGCGGCGATCACTCAATTACCCTCGCGCGAAATTCACTTTTAATTTCCCCAACCCAATTTTCGTTTACCATATAGATCGTATAGATCTTTTGTTGCGATTCTTTCGTGCGCTCGCTTGGAAAATAATTTGTCACAGTGCCAAAAGGTGTGTGTTTTCGCCTTGGAAATGTCCACTTAAATCGTATAGTTTTCCAATGTTCTACAAAGCCTTCTAAATTAGCCCTAAGGTCGTTTCTGGTCGAACCCTTCGCCACCTTGGTTAGGTACATTTTACGCAACCCAGTCGTGCGATTCGAATCGAATCGAGCAAACAAAGTGCGCAGCAGATTTCCAAATTAATGATTGACTTTGCAATAAAAAGATAAATATTTGCATGATCTCAGTTTGAGATTTTCAAAGGTAGAGATTAGCACTCGATTATCTCGAGACGAGCCCGCCGGTTACAAAAGGTTCTACAAGTACCCTATAACTAGTTTGTAGAGCCTATATAGTTTGCTTTTGACTGCCAGCCATAAATTACACACTAGATTAGTTTGACAAGTGCTTCTCACTGATTTCGAAAGGCACCCCTTATAAGTCGCCTTAGCCTAAGCCACATTTGTCCAACTGAAATCTGTAAAAACACTTAAAACCGGTTATATATTACCCCCTGAAAAAACAAATACTCAACCCGAGCCGGCAATAGATGAATAACTAAACTGGCTGCCAGGCAGAATCGGCGTAGTATTATTTTGGCTTATTGATAAACAAAAGTCGGGCGTGTGTTTGGGATTGTATATATATATATATAGGTTTATATACATTTGCATGCGGACAACAGCGCGTTCTTGGCCATGACTAAGAAGATCTAATGCATGCGAAGTAATTGATATTATTCCATTCAAGTTACGTCACGTTTTTTTTACGTGTGCGAACCTCCTTGACTTTAGAGATAATGTTTTCAAGGGGGATTTCGTTATCGGACTTACAATTTTAAACGGCTCCCAAGGCACACGCCCTTTTATTTGAGAGCCATGAAATGGCAAACCGAATTGAAAGTGTGAAAATTTAATTTTATAAAATATCAAATGATACGGCAGTTATGTTTTAGTCTCCTTTGAATCTTATGAGTCCAAAAAGTACTTAAAATTCAACATGCGCATAAGAAAATGGCCTTAAAACCAATAACTAGCTGCATTTATTAACAAATAATATATTCCTTAATTTAGCATGAACCTTTTTTGGCCATACGTCTTATACTTTTAGCCCTAATCCGTAGTTTTCGGTCAAACAGAGTTTCAGCAAACTAGTTTCTCGCTTTCTATTCACCCAAAATAGTTTCCATTGTATTTCGAATGATTGATGGCCCCCCATGAGATGGGGCAAATTATAAACTGGTTCTCGAATGGCTCATTAATATTTACCACCTTTCTCTGCCCCTTTCGCAGATGAGCATCTCGGCGGTGGTGGAGCGCAAAGAGCAGGCCAGCAACGTGGGCAGTGTTCTGGGCAGGCGCTACGGCCAGCTGCTCCAGGGGGCCAAGTACACGGATTGTGTGTTCCACGTGTGCGAGGAGCAGGTGAAGTGCCACAAGCTGATCCTCAGCACCGCCAGTCCAGTTTTCGAGGCCATGTTCTTTGGTCCGATGCAAAATAATGACCCAGACCCGGAAATCGAAATCCACGACATCAGTTCAGCCATTTTTAAGGTGCTGGTGGAGTACATCTACACGGGCGTCGTCGACTACAACGGCCTGGAGCTGGTGGCCTGCATCGAGCTGTACTACGCGGCCGAGAAGTATCTGCTGGAGGAGCTGATCGCCGAGACGTTGATGGCCATCACCCGCAAGCTGCGCTTCGCCAACATCCTGCCCGCTTTGGAGCTGAGTGTTTGCATGGGCCTGGACAGCCTGCTGGAGGTGTGCATGACCTTCTTCATGCGCTGCTGCGTGAACAATGGCCAGTACATGGGCCACCTGAAGGAGCACTATGTGCACGTGTCCAAGGAGTGCGTGAAGGCCATTATAGCGGCCTGCAAGGAGCCGCACAAGCTGCTCATCTGGTATGTCTACGAGTGGACGCGGCAGGAGTGCGAGCAGCTGGGCCTGGGTCCCAGTGATGCGGATCTGGTGGTGCACGATTTGGGTGGCGATGTTGCGAGTGATTGGCCCGTGGCCGCGGGTTGCAGGGATTTGGAGTCTCCAGCCGCGGCTCCTGTGGTCTCGGTGGAACGCTGCTACTACAAGGCCTGCCGCCCGTTCACAGTGGATGCCGAGTCGCCGGTCTTCCGGCTGCGCCTCAAGTGCTCCCGCTTCATCTCGCTGATGGGCCTGGTCCTGAACAGCCGCCTGACCCCCAACCGCTTGGGTCACATTCAGCAGCCGGAGTACCGGGAATCGCTGCGCCTGGATCTCTGCGAGGTGCCCGCCGAAAGCGAGGGAGTGACCAATGCGGCTCCCGTCTGGAGCCACGTCGTCCAGGGCCAGGGAACCAAGTACAACTGCGACCTGCATCTCGGCTGGCGGCGCGAGGAGGCCTGCGTGCTGAATCCGGAGCTGTTCTACGAGCTGCAGATACGCTGGGACGCGGGAGCCTACGGCGCGGAGTATCCGTGCAGCCTGCAGTCCTGCCAGGCGGACGGAATCCGGTTCATCGACGAGGACAGCTTCACAGGAAGTCTGGTGAAGGGACTGCGCTACGCCAACCTGGTGTAGCCCGGTGTAGCCGCTCGCCAAGCGATACTCGATACCATAATTAGTTAGTCCGTAAGACGTGTGTGTATTTATTGCCCTAAGTTAATGTACGCTGCCTCAGAGTTCAATAAACTGTGAGTAAGATCGCTTCAAACACAAGACGTCGATAAGGGGAAAAAGCCGGTTTGCGGGCAGCTTTTTGTTTGGCATCTGTCGAGCTCGATCAATGATCGCGGGGCTGTTTGGGGAGCGGAATTTTACTCACCAGTTGTTGTGAGCACAGATCAAAACACCTGCGGCGACGAGTCGCCAACAAACATCGGCATAAATTAAAATTATAACAAGATCCGTCAGATGTAAACAAAATGCTAAATTTATGTGGTTACAGTGTGACCAGGCTGTGGAGTTGCTTTTAGGCTGAACTGTCCAGGATGTAGAATTAATTTTACACCAAAATAAATCATTCACACTGAACGTAACATTGTTAAACACAATTATTTTTACATAGTTTATAAAATATGAAAAAATGTATTTAAATTTTAAAAATATATCAATCATTTGAGTTGTCGTTTTGAAGCTTAACAAAATTCAAATATGTACTTAACCAGATTTGATTTTAAGTTTCGAGAAAATTTTTCGAAATCGGATTCAGTTTTTTTCCTTTCAGTTTTGTACCTTATTCCTAATACCCAAATTATAATTTAATTTCATATTTATACCCGTTACTCGTAGAGTAAAAGGGTATACTAGATTCGTGCAAAAGTATGTAACAGCTAGAAGGAAGCGTTTCCGACCCCATAAAGTATATATATTCTTGATCAGGGTCACTAGCCGAGTCGATCTAGCCATGTCCGTCTGTCCGTCTGTCTGTCTGTCTGTCTGTCTGTCTGTCTGTCTGTCTGTCTGTCCGTCTGTCCGTCTGTCCGTCTGTATGAACGCTGAGATCTCAGAAACTACAAAAGCTGGAAGGTTGAGATTTCCCACACATATTCTTTGGCTTCCTACGCAGCGCAAGTTTATTTTAGCCGAGCGCCACGCCCCCTCTAACGCCCACAATCGCCTACTAACGATTTTAAAATGGGTCCTGCGCCCACATCTTTAAAGATTTCCCAGAAGTATAAATGCATTTTTGTTGTGTATATTTATACCTATCGAAATGTAGAAGACATTTTTCAAATCGGACCATTCATTAAAAAGTTATACGCAATCAAAAATTATATATCTATCTCCCTCGCACTCCCTTTAGCTGAGTTACGATTATTAGTCGGGACACCAACCCGCGTTCGCACTCCCTTTAGCTGAGTGACGGGTATTAGATAGTCGGGACAACAACCCGACTATAGCGTTCTCTCTTGTTTTTGTATAATTTCTTAAAATAAGTTTTTATTAATCAAATTTTAAAAAAACTGCAAAAATGATCACAAATTAATATGTTATTATAATAATAATAATAACAAATATTTAAGAAAAATGTTTATACTTTTGTTATATTATTTATATTAAACCTTTGTTTTCTTTAGAAAGTTAACAGCGACTGGAGGTTCCGTATATATAAGATATAGTGGTCCGATCCGGCTCGTTCCGACATATGTACTACCTGCAATAGAAAGAAGACTTTTGGGAAAGTTTCATCGCGATAGCTTTAAAACTGACGGACTACTTCGCATAGAAACGGACAGACGGACATGGCTAGATGGACTCGGCTATTGATGCTGATCAAGAATATATATACTTTATGTGGTCGGAAACGTCTCCTTCACTGCGTTGCAAACAACTGACTGAAATTATAATACCCTCTGCAAGGGTATAAAAATGGGGTCACTATCGATGTTTTTGAAATTTACGAAATTTCCATAATCGCATCTGTCGAGAGTTGCTATCGCATGTCGGTGTCTCAGTGGGTGTTATCTAATAGCCCCGAAGTATGCTGATTACTGATTCAGTTTAAAGCTTGAGTTTTTGAAAACCAGACGGCCTTTAGGATGTTGGCTCTACAGCTAAGTGCTTTGTTGACGATTTTGCCTGCTTGTCTGCAGGCTGCCAGGATACTGGCCATATTTCCCTTTCCAGGTCCATCACAGTACATAAATGTGGTGCCCTATTTGAAGACTCTGGCTTCCCGGGGTCACCAGGTGACCTCGGTTAATGCCTTTCCCCAGAAGACACCAGTGAGCAACTTTAGAGACATTCCCATCCCGGAAGTGTTTCAAAACTACAACGGTAAAATGGTATTAAGATATTAGTAAGATGCACTTATTTAGATATATAATTTTTCCAGATATTGTAAATGAGCTATATGTTCTACATGAGCTGAACATGTGGCAGCTGTTCAGTTTTATAAACAAGTTCTTTGTGAACATAACCCGCTCCGTTCTCACCAATAAAGAGGTGACAGAAACGCTTTTGCCTCCTGGCAAGGATCACTATGATCTGATAATTGTGGAGGCGCTTCGCTCGGATGCTTACTATGGGTTTGCGGCCCATTTTAATGCCCCCATTATAGGGTTTTCCACCTTCGGCACCGACTGGAATATTGATGAGCTGGTGGGCAATGTGTCGCCTCTATCTTTTTCTCCGCTGGTAACAGCGGGTCTTACGGATCGCATGACTTTCGGGGAGCGCGTTACCAACTTTGTGGATACTACCATTTCCTGGCTCAACTATAGGATAGTGCACATGCCAGAGCAGGAGAAATTGTATGAGAAATACTTTCCAGTGGCCTCAAAAAGGGTTCAACTCAGCGATTTGAACAGGAACTTCTCCCTGGTGCTTCTCAATCAGCACTTCTCGCTGAGCTTTCCCCGGGCCTACGTTCCGAATATGATTGAGGTCGGAGGGCTGCATATATCCCACAAGCCAGCTCCCTTGCCCAAGGACCTGGAGGAGTTTATTCAGGGTTCCGGTGAGCATGGTGTTATCTACTTTTCCCTGGGCTCCAATGTTAAGAGCAAGGATCTGCATGCCGAGAGAAGGGAAGTTATTCTGAAAACCTTTGCCAGTTTGCCGCAACGGGTTCTATGGAAATTCGAGGACGATCAGCTGCCGGACAAACCCACCAATGTTTTTATCAGCAAATGGTTTCCTCAGCCGGATATCCTGGCCCATTCCAAGGTCAAGTTATTTATTACGCACGGTGGACTGCTGAGCACTATAGAGAGCATTCATCATGGTAAACCCGTTTTGGGCCTGCCCTTTTTCGACGATCAGTTCTCGAATGTAAAGCAAGTTACAAGGGCTGGATTTGGATTGGGACTGGATCACAAGACAATGACGCAACAGGAATTCAAGGCGTCCATCGAACGATTGGTAAGGGAACCGCAATTTGCCGAAACAGCCAGGCGGATGTCCGATCGATATCGGGATCAGCCAATGAGTCCTTTGGACACTGCCATCTGGTGGACGGAGTATGTTTTGCGGCACAAAGGAGCTTACCACATGCGAGTGGCAGGCCAGGATTTGGGTTTCTTCGCCTACCACAGCCTGGATGTCATAGGAGCTCTCTTGGTCGGAGCTCTTCTCACTTTTACAATTGCAGTGTGTATTTTAAGGAAAGTTGCTAGCTTGGCTGGATTTGGGAGCTCTAAGAGGAAGCAAAAGGTTCAGTAAATAAAACTTTCATTATGAAAGTAATTAAATAAGTTTGTAATGTAACAGTAATAAATGCAGATCAAGAATTTAAATATATGTAGTTTATTTAACTATAATAAAAAAAAGGTTACAAATCTGGTGTTCAAGAAAATTCAACATTTCAGCAGTTTAACAGTTTAGGGAATACCCTCTTTATTTATTTGGCAGTGTGAAAACATAATTACATCCCCTCACAGTGTTGCAAGGTTCCCGAAAGCCTGCTTATTAGTGTTGGAAAGCGCCGCCGGGCAAAAAACAATAACAGTCGGCTTTGGTTTTTGTTTACGCTGCAAACATGACTATTTTGTACAAAGTCGAGGGCAAGGAGTTCAGCAAGGACAGTGTTTTCCCGCACAAGAAGGTCCTCTGCTCCGTGTCCGCGCGTAATATCGTGGCTTTCAGCGCCCTACAGAGCGCCATAGTTCCGTCCTCCCACGGCGGTGAAGCCGGCGATGGTTCCTTGCCGGGATCGGGATTGGGATTGGGTGTGGGCGCCAGCAACAGCCATGTCTACGTGTGCGACATTGTGACGCCCTGGGAATACTACAAGGTGTGCTCCTCCAAGTCCCTGATCAGCGTGCTCCAGTGGAGTCCCAATGGGGAGCAGCTGCTGCTCGGCTACGTCGGCGGTCGCGTGGAGATCTGGCAGCCGAGGATCCAGTCCATCAACCTGTGGCTCCTCCAGTACCACGCCACCGTGCCCAGCGAGGACATCATTGCGGCGCAGTTTTTCCACAGCGGCAAGGGGGTTATCTTCAATCCGCAGAAGAAGGATCACACCTACTACGCGGAGAAGTTCGAGCGGCTGGAGCAGCAGAAGCCCACGCTAAGCGGCTTCGGCGGAGTGCCCAGCGAGGGCTGTGTGCTGCTCACCTCCTCCGGCCTGCTGGCCGCCTTCAATCTGCCCGTGCTCCAAAAGGTATCAGCAGGAGGAGGATCTGTGGAGGGTCCTGCTCACGAGATCGTGGAGTTGACACCCACTCTGCACAGCATCGGCATCTCGCGCAGCTTCATCGAGCACTGCAGCCTGACGCCCAGTCCCTCGGGCGCCCTGAGCGTCGCCTTCAGCTGCGGCTGGCAGCAGCAGTTGGTGCAGTGCCACCGGATCTCTCTCTGCCTGGAGGGCGAACTGGGTCTGGAGCAGCATCTGGTCATCAAATCCGAGTCGCAGGCCAGCATTTTCCTGGGCCCCCTCGACGGCAGGCGCATCAGTCACCTGAAATGGACACGGGTGGCCAGCGATGAGGTGATCTTCATAGCCTACGCCTGTCCGAATGGCGGTGGCAGCCAGTTGGAGCAGTGGACGCTGACCCGCCGTCACCAGAGTGTCCACGCTCTGCTCCAGGGCGGCGGAGGCGCCAACAGCAAGCCCAATGAGTTCGTGCAATCGGAGAGCTGGGAGCAGGTGGGCAAGGTGCAGCTGAATGCATCCTTGGCCGACATCAGCGTAACACGACTATCGGTCTCCGCGCCGGACTGCTGCCAGGTGTACGCCATCCTGCAGGACAACAGTGTCCAGGTGCTGGAGCCCAATTCCCTCAAGCAGCTCAATCACACGCAGTTCGAAAAGGTTTCGGACGCCAGCGGAGGGGTAAATTTCGTTAGTGGCGACCTGACGCCCACCAGCCAAATGCTGCTGATCTTCGACAGCCACGCCCAGCTGCACGCCATGCAGGCACCCCTGCTGAAGCAGGCGGGATCCGGTTTGCTGCTGCTCGAGTACTGCATCGTCACTGGCTGCGATGCCAGCGATGTGCTGCTCCTCAATCTTGGCAATCTGGAGGCGCTCGTGGAGAAGCTAACGGACAATTTTACGCGGCAACCTTCGTATGTGCGCCACTACTACTATGCTAACTTTTTGGCCTTGAAATCAAATCTGTGCCGCGTGCAGCAGCAGGAGTTCGACAATCTGATCATCTTGCACGCCATATCCACGACATTCAAGAGCCTACTGCGACCCTCTGATCTCGGTTTTCAGGACAAGGGACCCGCCGATAATTTGGCCATTAAACTGGCCGAATCCATACCGGATGTGGACACCGTGATGCTCAACCTGGATGCCAAGGACTTCACGGTGGAGCCAGTGATGCTGCAGAGTCTGCAGCAACTGATCCAGTGGGTCACCGACCTGGCGCTCAATATGCTGCATCGCCTGCCCGAGGAAGTGATGAAGAGCAAGCTGTCCGGCAAGCGACCCAGCTACGATATCAGCCGGGACATCGTGGCCATCGGCAGTCTGCGCGAGCTCCTGGTCATGATCCGCATCTGGGGTCTGCTGAACACCCAGTGCCTGCCTGTCTATACCAAGACGATGGACAACATCGATGTGCTGGTCATCCTGTTTCGTCTCCTTACGCGCTTGGCCCAGAATCCCGCGGAGCCGGACGAAATGCTGCTGGACGAGTGCAGTCTGCTGTCCAAGCAACTGCTAATTCCCCAGCCCACCAAGTTCAACCCCACCACGCTGCTGAGTGCCCAAGGATTCGCGGCCGTCAAGTCGGGCCAGCTGCAGTTTACCTCGCTGGTGGAACCATCTTGCCTGCAGGACGTGGAAACCGAGGAGGTGGTCTTCGCCCGCTCGGTGAAGGATGGCGTGAGCAATCTTCAGCTAGGCGCCCGGCCCAGCACCATCCGGAGGTGCGCCCGCTGCGGATTCGTCTTCGTCAACAACGCCAGCAAGGTGGCCAAGACGTCGGCCCTGAAGGCGTGGTTCAGCAAGTGGCTGCACTGCCACTGCGGCGGCTTTTGGAAGCAGATTCACTAGGTCGTCAGCAGTATCGTAAGGTCTTAGGATTTAGTCTTAATTTCCAATAAAAGAGAAAAAGAAAAGTTAAATGATGCTGTTCAAGAATATACTATAATTATAGGGTCTTAGTAATTGCTATTATTTTATATGACTTCTTTTATTTGTAAATGTAAACTTCTTATCTTTATTGCTTCTTTTTGCCTCCTGAGACTTTTGCTTTGCCCAGCAGCTTGCTCAATACTAATTTCCCAATTAGTCGGGTTAGAAGAACGAAAAAGACTAGGATCGTGAGAACTAGAGCGTAGACATCCAGATTGTGAAGCTCAACAAAGCTCATATGCACCGCTGGACTCTGCAAATGGGGGGCGCCATGATGCCGCAGGACGTAGTTCGTCCAGAAGACCACTGACTGTCTTGGAGTAATGGCCCCAAAACTGTCTTCTGTAATAGTTTGCAAATCGAGGGCCACGCCGTTTCCCGATTTAACCATTACGTCAGCATATAAAGGGTGATCTCCGAAAATGGGCAAGGCCACCATTGGAACTCCATGGTACTGAGACTCGGTGATGCTGTTCTTTCCGGCATGTGTGATAAACAATAAACAAATGAGAACCCACAAATGCCATTGAGATGTTCCTCCTCATCTCACTTAGGGTTGGAATATCCTTTTCCCTAAAGATTTCATTGTAAATTCGTGTGAGTTTGTAGTCAAATAGCAACGTCAAGTACTGGAGAATCACATGTTTGACCATGTTCTCAGCTCGTTGAAGAAAGTTCATGGGTGGCGTTGCGAAAGTGGATTCATTGGGAACATAGGAGATCTCCGAGGGATTAGCCACAAACTGATCAACCATCGTGCTGGACGGTGTCATCCAGTCGACGATCACGGGAACCTTCAGCTTGGCTGCCACTCCCAATTGGAAGTCGTTGTAAAAGGAGCCCAGTATCATCAAATCAAATTTGGTCTCGTAAACGCATAGGAACTTCGGGTCGGAGAGGAGATCAGCCTGCGTATTAACCATCACACCCAGGTCATTTAAAAGGAGAAACATAGTGCTTATTATGTCGTTCTTGCTCTTGGCCATCCTGGACATTGTGTAATCCATACTGCGCTCCTGTTCCTTCGTCATTGGCACCAAAATCAGGTGGATGTCCTTGTGCATCCGCTTGGGTCGCAGCATCGACACCACAGTCACGTTATGTCCTGCTTCGGCCAGAGCATTGGCCGTCGACATGTGAATAATCAGATGCGAGGGACTAATGGCACTATAGATCCCCAGTATATTTGCTCCCTCGGTGGAAGCTACGACTGCGAGAACCCATAAAATCAGCGAGCAAGCCACGAACATTTTGTTAACTTCTTGCTTAGCGCCTCCGATCAATGTGAAAATAAAACTGAGGACAATCTGGAAATCCACCATATATATATGTATATTATATGAGTAAACTTGACCACGTGCTAGTCGTTAGATTCATTTACTACTACTATACTATCAACTCTAATTTACATCAGAAACTAGGTTTTGGCTAGAGTTAGACATAATATATGCAAATTAAAGATGTAACTCCCTGTTATGTTAGTCTTAAAGTCGCCGGTTTTAAATATGTATCCACGTGTTTTCGATATTATGTCTGGCTTTTTACTATTGTGTCTGCAAATCAAATAAATAGGAAATCAAGCTTTGAGAACTATTCGATATTGTGGTCCGTTCCGGCCGATTTTCAAATGTAGACCTTTTAACTTCAATCGAAGAAGAATTTTATTACGATTTCAACGATTGATGACATTTGATATCTAAAGTTAAGATTCTACAGACTTTTGTTTTGGAAAAATTATAGATTTTTTTAAAAGATATATGTGAAAGGGAATCCTGTAATAAGGAAAACAACCTTCACGTTTGAGTTCTGTATAAAAAATGATTTTATTTCAATAAGTCTTTGCTTACGTAACTAACATGAAATTCTTATAATATACTTATGTATGGTCTACGCAGAGACCACATCTGTTTGCCTGAACGGGAGCCTTATCAACGGTCTCCTGCAAGGCGACCCTTTGTACAGTGTGAGAAGTTCTCACTGAGAACTATCCGGCTGTTCCAGTTTTCACTCGGAAGTGAATCTGATTTCATGCTAGCGGATTTAAGTCCGCCTGTCAAATGCTTGGCGGAAAGTTTCCATGTGAATTTTTCGGAAGTTAACAGAGTAACAACGAGGGATATTTAAATCCTTGCAATTCTTTCGGAAATGAGTCCTGGAACATGTCTGAGAAATTCGATTTCGTGTGAATCTTTCGGAAGTGAAAACTAGAACAGGGCCGTATATTTATGATCAGGCTCAAGTGGCCTGTACTTAAGATTACAATTGTTCGGCACTGCACCCTTGTAGGTTTAAAGTTAAAGATCATTATTTACGGCTCTAGATAGATTTACATATTGACATTGACAGAGCTCGTAAAATCTTAAATTTATGACAATTAGTGTTCTTCCTGAACAATATGAGTAAACTTGACCACGTGCTAGACGTTTGATTCATTTACTACTACTATACTTTCAACTCTAATTTACATCAGAAACTAGGTTTTGGCAAATATATACTAGGTATATGCAAATTATAGATGTAACTCCCTATTATGTTAGTCATAAAGTCGCCGGTTTTAAATATGTATCCACGTGTTTTCGATATTATGTCTGGCTTTTTACTATTGTGTCTGATATTGTGTAGACCTTTTAACTTCAATCGAATAAGAATTTTATTGCGATTTTAATGATAGATGACCATTGATATCTAAAGTTACGATTCTACAGACTTTTGTTTTGGAAAAATTATAGATTTTTTTAAAAGATATATGGAAAATCGATTTCTTAGTTCCGTTTAAGCCGTTAAAGGTTTAAAGGCCAAGAATTAAGAATGTTTTAAGTTTAAAATAAAGAAACTAAGATAAAGGCAAGCCAAAGGTATAGAATATAGTCGATTTGTTTTCAATCCTGATCTCCGCAGGTGAAGCTGCTGATATGATAATGAATTTTTTCAAACTTTCATGAAACTCTACATTTCTCTCATCGAACCTTTCCATGTCCAAATCTCGATCAGTTTTTGGTACATGTTTTGAAGCTCGTAGAATAATTTAAAAATTTCAATGGAATGTAATCCAATGTAGATGTATCACGAGAAAGGAGGACAGACTGTGGGATATTGCTATGTTGTCTCGTTAAATGATGCTGTTAAAAAAAATATAACTTCTTATTTTTATTGCTTCTTCTTGCCTCCGAAGACTTTTGCTTTGCCCAGCAACTTGCTCAATACTAATTTCCCAATTAGTCGGGTTAGAAGAACAAATAAGATTAGGATCGTGAGAACTAGAGCGTAGATATCCAGATTGTGAAGCTCAACAAAGCTCATATGCACCGCAGGACTCTGCAAATGTGGGGCGCCATGATGCCGCAGGACGTAGTTTGTCCAGAAGACCACTGACTGTCTTGGAGTAAGAGGTCGATCCCTGTACAGGGCGGAGAATTTTTCAACTGCTCGCCTGTACTTATCATTTTCCAGGACTTCTTTAATGGCCGCCCCAAAACTGTCTTCTGTAATAGTTTGCAAATCGAGGGCCACGCCGTTTCCCAATTTTACCATCATAGCAGCATTTAAGGGGTGATCTCCGAAAATGGGCAAGGCCACCATTGGAACTCCATGGTACTGGGACTCGGTGATGCTGTTCTTTCCGCCATGTGAGACAAAGAGTTTGGTGTTCGGATGGGCCAGGATATCGTCTTGTGGCAGCCAGCGCTTAAAGAGAATATTTAAGGCTTTGCCTGGTGTGTTCCCCAAATCCTCCCATTTCCAGATAATATTTTCTTTCAGGCCAGACAAAACATTAAACATTATTTGGACGATTTCTGGCTTCACCATGTGGCTTTTGATGTTCGAGCCAAATGAGAGGAAGATTGCTCCCTGGGTGGAGTTGTCCAAAAACTGTTCAATATCCTGAGGCAAGGGATCTGGCTTCTCCTTCACCTGAATGCCTCCGATTTCAATAAGGGCAGGAACCAATGGTCGAATCGGACCGTCGCTGATTAAATGCGAACCCACAAAGACTAAAGATATATTCTTTTTCATCTCACTTAGCGTTGGCATATCTTTTTCCGTAAATATTTCATTATAAATTTCAATAAATTTGTAATCAAACCGCAGCGTCAAGTACCTAAGGATCACGTGCTTCATCATGTTCTCAGCTCTTTTGAGGAATGTCATTGGGGGTGTTGCAAAAGTGGATTCGTTGGGCACATAAGATATCTCGAAGGGATTAGCCACGAACTGATCAATCATAATGTTGGACGGTATCATAAAGTCGACGATCACGGGAACCTTTAGCTTGGCAGCCACTCCCAATTGGAAGTCGTTGAAGAAGGAGCCCAGTATCATCAAATCGAACTTGGTCTGGTAAATCCGAAGGAACCTCGGGTCGGAAAGCAGATCAGCCTGGGTATTAACCATCACACCCAGGTCATTTAAAAGGAGAAACATAGTGCTTATGATGTCGTTTTTGCTCTTGGCCATACTGGACATTGTGTTATCCATACTGCGCTCCTGCTCCTTCGTCATTGGCACCAAAATCAGATGTATGTCCTTGTGCATCCGCTTGGGTCGCAGCATCGACACCACAGTCACATTATGTCCTGCTTCGGCCAGAGCGTTGGCCGTCGACATGTGAATAATCAGATGCGAGGGACTAATGGCACTATATATCCCTAGTATATTTGCTCCCTCGGTGGAAGCCACGACTGCGAGAACCCATAAAATCACTGAGCGATCCGCGAACATTTTGTTAACTTTTTGCACAACCTCTTCGGTCAACAATAAAATGAAACTGATGAAAATTCGCGAGTCCAGCATACATTGAATGTACAAACTTGACCACCTGCTTATTTAGTCATTTATAGTCACCTAACTAACAAACCAAATATTTAAATTAAAATACTTTTATTTTTGACTTAACGCTAATTTACTCCAGAAACTAGTTTTTGTCGGGCCTCTTAGGCTAACAAGAGGTTGAAATAAAATAAACCCAACATTATAGACGCAACAAAAACCTTGTTATGTTTGCAATAAAGTCGCGGGTTTTGGATGTAATTTTAAAATGCAAATCTTTACGTTTCCCGTGCTTTCTGGCTTTTTATGCTCGTTCTGAAAATTATTATAATTCCCATAATCCCCCATATAGCCGAAAATAAATGCGAAAACATTTAAGGCTTTGGGGGCCGATTCACTACACCCAAAAAAAAATCGACTGAAATCGCCCTTGGTTTTCGAAAATCGCCTATAAATTTGCTTTACTGGCGATTTTGTCGGTATTAAAGAAAGTAGGTTTTTAAAATCAAACACGTTTTTTCTAAAAATCAAAAAAAAATAGACTGCAATTTAAAAATATTTTGCTAGAAAGTAAAAAATTATTTCTTGTTTCTGTGACGCCACGGCCTTTTGTGTTGTTTTTTTTTTCGTTCTTGTTTGTCACCTTATTTGAATTTCCTTTAATTGAGCACTTGGGCGGAACTGTAATAATAACTGAAATGAGTATACAAATTATAAATTATAAATATAAAAACCCAATAACTTACTATTTTGAGAAAAACATCTTGGTCGCCGCACGCGGGAATCGAACCGCTAACCGCTCGCCTCACAGTTTGCAGTCAAGCACTCTACTAGCTACTAGGCGCTGTACAAAGTCTATTCACATTTTGTTCTCCTATTTTTACTCAAATTGATCTGGCTCTCTTCTGGTTATTCCTTTTAGTTGTTCATTTAATTTTGCTTTTAAATATTTATTGATTAATATTAATATTTATATATTTATTATGGTTCAATAGTAACAGTAATTGAATGTTTCAAATTTGAAAAACTTAAACATTATTTTTATCAAAATATAATTATTCATGAGCTAAAAAAAATGCAATACATTTTATGTAAATATTAGTGTTAAAAAAAAAAACAAAAAGACACCATGAGTTTTTCGTCTCGACGTGGGATTGAACTCACACTTGCAGCAGCAAGTTTGAATAACATATGCATGCACGCACGCGTTAGACCCCTAGGCTACCAATCCCGGAAATTTTCTTCGATTAATAGCGATTTTTTCTTGACCTAAAAAAAAATTTTCTAAAAAGTGTATAAGAAGGAAAATTGATCAAATAGCCTTAAGATATAGTGGTCCGATCCTGCTGAAACTGGGCAGTGATTAGGTGCTGAAACTGGGCAGTGATTAGGTGCTGAAAGTGGGCAGTGATTAGGTGCTGAAACTGTGCAGTGATTAGGTGCTGAAACTGAGCATTGATTAGGTGCTGAAAGTAGGCAGTGATTAGGTGCTGAAAGTAGGCAGTGATTAGGTGCTGAAACTGGGCAGTGATTAGGTGCTGAAAGTAGGCAGTGATTAGGTGCTGAAACTGAGCATTGATTAGGTGCTGAAAGTAGGCAGTGATTAGGTGCTGAAAGTAGGCAGTGATTAGGTGCTGAAACTGGGCAGTGATTAGGTGCTGAAAGTAGGCAGTGATTAGGTGCTGAAAGTAGGCAGTGATTAGATGCTGAAAGTAGGCAGTGATTAGGTGCTGAAACTGGGCAGTGATAAGGTGCTGAAAGTAGGCAGTGATTAGGTGCTGAAACTGAGCATTGATTAGGTGCTGAAAGTAGGCAGTGATTAGGTGCTGAAAGTAGGCAGTGATTAGGTGCTGAAACTGGGCAGTGATTAGGTGCTGAAAGTAGGCAGTGATTAGGTGCTGAAAGTAGGCAGTGATTAGATGCTGAAAGTAGGCAGTGATTAGGTGCTGAAACTGGGCAGTGATAAGGTGCTGAAACTCGGCACCTAATCACTGCCTACTTTCAGCACCTAATCACTGCTCAGTTTCAGCACCTAATCACTGCTCAGTTTCAGCACCTAATCACTGCTCAGTTTCAGCACCTAATCACTGCCTACTTTCAGCACCTAATCACTGCTCAGTTTCAGCACCTAATCACTGCCTACTTTCAGCACCTAATCACTGCCTACTTTCAGCACCTAATCACTGCTCAGTTTCAGCACCTAATCACTGCCTACTTTCAGCACCTAATCACTGCCTACTTTCAGCACCTAATCACTGCTCAGTTTCAGCACCTAATCACTGCTCAGTTTCAGCACCTAATCACTGCTCAGTTTCAGCACCTAATCACTGCTCAGTTTCAGCACCTAATCACTGCCTACTTTCAGCACCTAATCACTGCTCAGTTTCAGCACCTAATCACTGCTCAGTTTCAGCACCTAATCACTGCAAACTGCCTACTTTCAGCACCTAATCACTGCTCAGTTTCAGCACCTAATCACTGCTCAGTTTCAGCACCTAATCACTGCTCAGTTTCAGCACCTAATCACTGCCTACTTTCAGCACCTAATCACTGCTCAGTTTCAGCACCTAATCACTGCTCAGTTTCAGCACCTAATCACTGCTCAGTTTCAGCACCTAATCACTGCAAACTGCCTACTTTCAGCACCTAATCACTGCCTACTTTCAGCACCTAATCACTGCTCAGTTTCAGCACCTAATCACTGCTCAGTTTCAGCACCTAATCACTGCTCAGTTTCAGCACCTAATCACTGCCTACTTTCAGCACCTAATCACTGCTCAGTTTCAGCACCTAATCACTGCCTACTTTCAGCACCTAATCACTGCTCAGTTTCAGCACCTAATCACTGCTCAGTTTCAGCACCTAATCACTGCTCAGTTTCAGCACCTAATCACTGCCTACTTTCAGCACCTAATCACTGCTCAGTTTCAGCACCTAATCACTGTCTGCTTTCAGCACCTAATCACTGCTCAGTTTCAGCACCTAATCACTGCTCAGTTTCAGCACCTAATCACTGCCTACTTTCAGCACCTAATCACTGCCTACTTTCAGCACCCAATCACTGCTCAGTTTCAGCACCTAATCACTGCTCAGTTTCAGCACCTAATCACTGCTTACTTTCAGCACCTAATCACTGCTCAGTTTCAGCACCTAATCACTGCTCAGTGATAAGGTGCTGAAACTGGGCAGTGATTAGGTGCTGAATCGAGTCGAGCATACATTAAATGGACGAAGTTTACCACCTGCTTATTTAGTCATTTATAGTCACCCAACTAGCCAACCAAATATTCAAATTAAAATACATTTATTTTTGACCCAACTCTAATTTACTCCAGAAACTGGTTTTTGGCGAGCCTCTTAGGCTAACAAGAGGTTGATATAAAATAAGCCCAAAATTATAGACGCAACAAAAATCTTGTCATGTTTGCAATAAAGTCGCCGGTTTTGGATGTAATTTTAAAATGCAAATTTTTACGTTTCCCGTGCTTTCTGGCTTTTTATGCTCTTTCTGGAAATCATTATAATAGCCGAAAATGAATGGGAAAACAAGTAAGGCTTTGGGGCCCGATTCACTAGTAAATCCTAATAAGTGTCAGCAATATTTTCAATCCTGAAGCTGCACTTCCTTGCTCTTGGTCAAATTTTCATGGAACTCTCAATTTCTCCCATCGAAATTTTTGTAAGCTCGTAGAGTAGTTTAAAAATTCCAATGGATATTCAAATCCAATAAGAAAGTAGGTCCTGTGGCAACATTTTGGTATTTTTGGCCAGTTCTTGGTATATTCCTTACATTCTTTGCACATTAATGTAACGCCCCACTGACGGTCACATTGGGACAGTGCGGAAAAAAATACAAACAAATTGCTGCGCTGCGTACAGAAAGTTAATTTTAAAAGAGTATCAGCATCCGAAAACCCGTTGACGAATAACTCGGCAAAATGAATATAAATCTGCCGAATTTCAACGTGAAGAACCTGGTGAAGGAGGCGGGCAGCACGATATCGCGAGTGGTGCAGGTGAACAAATCAATGATTTTGGGTGGCACGAAAAATGCGGGTGGTCTTTTTTTCGAAAGGGGAGGGGAAGCTCAAGCTCAAGCTCAAGCACCTCCGTTGACTCTTTGCCCTTTCGTACGCTTTTCCATGCATCAATTGATGGAAATCAATGATTTTTCCAGCTCACGGAGGAGAAACTGGGCACCACGGAGCGCACCGAGTACGACTTGCACTTCCAGAATCTCGCCGAGCGGGCGGATGTGACCAAGACCTGGACGGAGAAGATTGTGCGCGACACGGAGTCGGTGCTAATACCGAATCCCCAGAACCGCGTCGAGGACTTCATCTTCGAGAAGATCGAGAAGTCGAAGCCCAAGCGGCTGAGCAACCTGGAGCACCTGGCCCTGGACATGATCGAGGCTGGCGGGGATTTCGGCCAGGATCTGCCCTACGGCCAGGCTCTTATCAAGGCCGGCCAGGCGGAACAGAAGCTGGGCCAGTGCGAGCACGACTTCATTGCCACCTCGGGCATTTGCTTCACACAGCCGCTGCGCAAGTTCCTCGACGGCGAGATGAAGACCATCGGCAAGGAGCGCGGCATCCTGGAGACCAAGCGCCTGGACCTGGACGCCTGCAAGAACCGGGTGAAGAAGGCGCGCAGCATGCTGGGCCAGCAGTCGGTAGGTGGTTTTCTACAGGGGGGATGCCTAATGACCCTCTTTCTCACGGTCTTTTTCTGCCCTCTGCTGCTTGGATTTTGAATGTACAGAAAGATGGCATCTCGCCAGAGGCCGTCTTGGAACAGGTATTGCGACCTTGACCGAACTCTAGCTCTAAATTTATGGCCAATCAATGCGA